GGGAGGTATTATGAAATAATTATAACATAAATGTGTGAATAAAGCAGAAAGCCTCAGCCTAGTTCTGAATTTTTATAGTGCCTATTGCAAAAGCTATTTTGAATATGAACATCCATGTTAAGTTCCATACAGACTTTATAAAATACAATGACCAGAAGGGAAAATTTTAAAAAGACATCCTATTGTTCTCATAATCCAAATCATAAACCTGGATAAAGATTTTTTTTGAGGTTTCCTCTCTATTTTTTTATATTTTTCAATCACAGTCGATATTCAACATTACATTACTTTCAGGTGTACAACACAGTGGTTAAACATTTATAATTAACAAAGTGAGAAAAGATTTTTAAGAATTGTTTTATATTGCTTTGGAGGAGAATAATAGGGGACGCTATGAGAAGTTAATTCTGGTATAATTGCTGTACCTATTCCGAGGCATTTCCCGACTAGTACATCAAAGTTTCAGTACCCTGCAGTCCTTAAAGAGTTTTATTACAGAAGGTTGCTTTAAGATACTTAAGCTCAAGTGCTCGAACAATAAACTGTAGAATGGCATCAGTTGTCAGTCCCTATGGAAATATTTTAGAAAGAATGTACTTTCTTAGTTCTAAAACATGTAAACTGAAGACAGAGGTTGTTAATTGAGGTTTTCATTATAATCTCTCAAGAACAAATACAGCAGGGGTATAGAAAAAGGGTCCAGGTCTCACATTTATCTACATTGCTGGGCTTAGTAATTGGACATTACCAACAACAGTTAAAAATGTAAAACCTGGTCATTGGGGGCTGTTCCCCTGAACCATGTGCCTGTTTTATTCTGGCAGCAATCTTGTTAAGTGAATTTCTGAGTGTCTGAGAAAGGGGGGAAAGAGGGAACAGAGGATTGAGATTTTACAAACTGGTGAATTTACATAATCTCCACACAAAAAAAAAACTTAATCCACGACAACTATTTCAAGTATAGACTCTCAGAGAAGCCCCAGCATTTGAAAAAGTCTAAAGATTTATAACTAACAAAAAACCATGGAATTCTGAGGATTCTCCTCTAAATGGAAGCAAAGCAGCAGAGTGGAAAGAGCTTTGGATTCAGGCAGACAAGGGTTCAAACCTTAACTTCTCAAGTTAAAGCTGAAAAACTTCCTTGAGCTCTGAATTTGTCCCTTTATCTCTACAAGCAAAAACAGTAACTACCAAAAACACTGTTTTAAAGATTAAATGAGTTAATTTTGTAACAGTCTAGTATCTATACATACTCAATATGGAATTACTAACAATATTTATACTCCCTCAAATTTCCCTTATGGAGTGAGTTTATTTCTGGTTTGATGGGAGGCATTATGCTTAGTTCAGGTTAGTAACATCCCATACTAACTTTCTTCCACATCAGTAACAGACAGATTTGAATTCCTAGTTCTTAGCTCACCCAGTGGCCATCATAGGGACTCCCAGTGACAACCACTGACAACGTAGCGATCCAAAGTGAGGTGCTGTCTGCAAGGACTCAGACTCCCAGCTTCGTTTTTTCTCCCCTTGGCTACCAAAACCATCACATAATATTGTCATAAATGATTTGCAAAACCAAGTAAATGACAGGCCCATCAATTTTCTTTCTCTCTCTCTTCTTTCTCTCATTTACTTCTTTGTCCTCATTTCATTCTTCATCTACTATAACTTCTAATTTGTCCTAGTCAATGAATGTCTTGTCCTCCTACTCACCAATTTTTAAAATTTCTGTAATCAAGACGTGTCATAAAAACGTAGGTATAGATAGAGAACAAAATTTAGTAAACACAGCTGTCAAAATAAATTTGAAAAAATCTGCTAAGAGCCTTAAACTATTTAATAACAAAAAAAAAAAGTTCATACTTTTAACTTGGAAACACCTTGAAATTACCAAGACCCTTGTCGTTCTCTCATCAGGTAATCAATCATTCTGCTCTCAGACTTGGACTTGGAAAAGTCCAAGATTTTCATTTGGCTTTTTTGTCCCAAACTAATTAATGAGGTTTTATGGTTAGAACTGCAACCGTTGAGAAGTATATGACAAAGCTTTTTAAAGGGACAATTACGAGAAATATAGATAAATCTCTCTTTAGTAGTTAACTTTGGCTTTGAGTCTTAGGTAATTTAAGAATGCAATAAGACTAAGCTCGACTTTAAATGTTTTTGTTAAAAAGTCTTCAGAATATTTATTATGTTTCTCTATAAAGCAAGAACATTAAAATTTACTGAACCAAAACTTAATATATGAAACTTTTAAACCAACTTCCACAATCAAGTATAGTGAAAACTAAAATCCTTTTTCTAGAACCCAATAGAAATAGAAAATATATTTTGTTCTTTTCAAAGCTGACTGAATATTCTAAATTTTAACCTCAATAAAATACATTGTCATTACCATACTAACACTTTTCCAGACCATCACTATTAAAGTATCAGATTGGTCCTTTACATAGTTAACAGTAATCAAGTTCCAATTTTATAATAATGATATTTAAAAATACATTTCAACTTAAACTTCATATAAAAAATTAATACACATTACCTTTTGGCAAGCTTTGCATAGTAATATCATTTTCTGAATTGTCATTAGAAGCATCTTCATTTACAGTCTCATCCAAAGGTTTTTCATCATCGGATTCTACATATTTTGTTACAACTGAAGGTTTCCTATGAAAGAATTACGTCCATAGAATTATGGACACTTCTAACAATTGGAACAACACCCAAAGAATATAAATAACATACTTAGATTGAGCAGTGGCTCTTAAGCAAGGATACATATCAAAATCACCTAGGAAAAGCATACATCTCTATTCGAATTACTGAAGATTACAATTCAGAAGGTAGGACCAGGACATGTGTATTCAAAAAAGCTACCAAGGAATCATGAAGGAAACTCCTGGTTAAGAATCACTACTTTTAAGAGAATACATTAATAATAAGCAAGTTGTGTTTATTAAGAGACATTCCCACTGGTTAGAAACAACAAAAGACCAATAGAATAATTTGCAAACTTCTAATAAAAACAATACTACATAGTATATTATGCACTAGTATGCTTGGAAGTAGTTTCACTCATTGTATAAAATTCACTGACAATTTTACACAGAAAAGTACTTCTACCACTCTTCATCTCCTAGTAACCTCCTCATAACTTCAATGGTTACCCCTCCCCATCCTAGACAACTTCACAGAACCCTAAAACACCCATACTGCTTCATGAGGCATTCAAAATTTCATTTCACATTTTCCTCCTTTTTCAAAGCACATATAATATAGAAGAAGTGATCTAGATATTGCAAGGATCACTAGTATATAATAAATTCTCCCTAGAAAATTCAATTACAAGTCAAAATGAATTCATAGTTGTTGAAGCAAAGTAATAAACAGAAGATTCATTATGCTACACTGCCCATTCTAATATTTATGGTTTTAAAAAATAGTTTACTTAGAACAAAAGTGCTTGAATTAAATTTAGAAAAAAGTTTATTATTTTTAGAAAAAAATAAAACAACCCCCAAAAATAACTTTTTCCCTTCGATATCAACCCACCTCTTTGATCGTGATGATCCTGATGATTTGGATTTTTCCGAAGAGCTAGTTCCCTATATGTGAAATATAAACAGAGAGGTGAGTAAAACTTCCAAAGAAACATCCCTATAATAAACTAGTTCCCGATGCCAAGATCTCCGATATAATGATATAATAAGACACTATATATATGCCTAAAATATTTTTCTAAAAGGCATTTAAAAATTATTTCTCATTTAATCTCAGGTTTCCTGGATTTAAGATAATTTTCTGAGTTCTCATTAATTTATTAATGTTCAATTTGGGGGGTTGGGAGAAGATACATTTTTGTATCATGATCTTGGCCCAGGTCAATGAAGACAAAACAAAAATGTAGGAGTAAACAGATCCCAACAGAAGTAGAGACTTTTAAGGACCTAAAAGTGTGACATTTTCTCTGCCCTAATTATGGCATAGACTACCTTCTACAATTTGCTTTGAGATACTAAATTCACCCTCATTTTGTCAGTATACTATGTATATTTTATTGGATTAAATAGTTCACATTATGTGGAAAGAACCTCAAAACCATTGTGTAGGCATGAGTATCACATGAAGGAATATACAGTTTTGACAGATCTCAGAGCCGTGGAGACTTGCCCATAACTACTTTGAGCACCACTGTACCATTATAGTAATGTTCAAATACCTATCTGTTGGTAAGCCTCCAATTGTCTGACTGTTGGTATACTGCTGAAACGAATCACAGTAATAACAAACTCAGTAAACATCTTTTAAAATGGACAAATACCCAAAATGAAATCTCATAATGATACTTGGGTATAATAGTAAATTTAAACACATGCATGTATTAAACAGAAGCAATCTGATGCCATGTACACTAATTATTATTAGCAATTCTTTTACATGTTTCAAATTATTCTTACCTCTTCCTTGTTGTTTTCCATCATGTCAGAGTTATTTCCAGAACCACTGAGTTTATCTTAAAAGAAAAATAAAAGCATTATTTATTTCAATATATTATCAAACAGAACACCAATACCTACAACTCTATAAACCCATTTTTCAATCTATGAAGCATGATAGTATTCATAATAAAATACATTTAAATTTTCTTAGAAGAGTTTTCTGACTAAAATCACTGTCTTTTGACACACTAAGCCCCTCTTAAAAAGCATTACATTTTGAAAAAGAGGAGTCTGGTTATCAAAACATTTCCTACTGTAATTGTCTAAGGTTTATTCTCTTTAAAATTTTTTAAGCTTCATCTTCTACAAAAATAAAACCATACTATTAATAAATTGTATTTCCCTCTACCAAAAGATACTGGAAAAATAACAATGATCTAAACCTAAAGAAAGCAGCGAGTTTTCTAAGTATCATCTCTTCAGGACACTGCCTCTTGCTCTTCCCCTTACTGCCCTGAGTCACGCACTAACTGCGCAGCTCTGGTCACCTGCCTCCGCATGCTGGTCATTGGTATTTGGAGTTCTTACAACGTGGCACACACTGATAACAAAGAACAGTCTGAACTTGACCAAGATTTGGATGATGTCAAAAAAGTAGAAGAACAAGAAACTGGTGAAGAAACACAATTCAAAGCACGTCAGCTGACTGTTCTGATGATGCAAATTTCTCAGATTCTTGCAGCCTTCCAGGAAACACTAGATGGTCTGGTAGACACACGAACACACTGAAACTTTGCCTAAGGTAGTTAAAGGGCAAGTGAATGCTCTCAAAAACCTTTAAGTTAAATGTCCACAGACAGAAGCCAAGTTCTATGAGGAAGAAGTCCATGATCTTAAAAGAAAGTGTGCTGTTGTCTATCAGTCTTTATTTGATAAGCAATTTCAGATCATTAATATAATTTATGAACCTACAGAAGAAGAATGTGAATGGAAACCAGATGAGGAAGATGAAATTTCAGAGAGACTGAAAGAAAAGGCCAAGACTGAAGATGAGAAAAAAATTAAGAAAAACAAGACCCCAAGGGAATTCTCGAATTTTTGGTTGATTGTTTTTAAGAGTTTTGACTTGATCAGTGATATGGTTCAGGAACATGGTAAGCCTATTCTGAAGCACTTGAAAGATATTAAAGTGAAGTTCTCAGATGCTGGCCAACCTATGAGTTTTGTTTTAGAATCTCATTTTGAATTCAATGAATATTTCCCAAATGAAGTGTTGATAAACACATATAAGGTGAGGTCAGAACCACATGATTCTGATCCCTTTCCTTTTAATGGACCAGAATTTATGGGTTGTACAGGGTGCCAGATAGACTGGAAAAAAGGTAAGAATGTCACTTTGAAAACCACTAAAAAGAAGCAGAAACACAAGAGACATAGGACAGTTCATACTGTAACCAAAACAGTTTCAATGATTTATCAGGCTTTGCAGGATAACCTGCACTGGTCTACTTTCTGCTTCCCTGGAAAGGATGTATTTTTATCATCTGACAAGTTCAAGTTTTTTTTGGTTGTTTATTTGCTTGCTTGTGTTTGCAGCTTAAATAAAAATGTCAAGTATTTTTAAAAAGAAATCACAGAGAATAAAATGAAGATTAGAGAGGAAACTAATAAAACAGGAAATAGAAAAATAATAGAGAAATATCAGTGAGACCAAAAGTTAGTGTCATCCCTTGGTTATCTATGGGGGATTGGATTGAAAACTCCCTGTTGATAACCAAAATTCTCAGAAGCTCAAGTCCCTTATATAAAATGGCATGTTATTTTTGCATGTAACACATAACAAATGTTTGCCATGCATAATGCACTCCCATGTATAATGTGCACCCTATATTTTTGTGCACATTAAACACAGGGTTGTTCATGCCATTATACCCATGGTGTGTAATCATTATACCCATAAGTAATGCACATCCTTATTTTTCCCCTCAAAAATTTGGGCAAAAACGGGCACATTATACACGGCAAAAAACAGTACATACATCCTCCCATATAGTTTAAATCATCTCTACATTACTTGTAACACCTCATACAATGTAAATGCTCCATAAATAGTTGTTATACTGGATTATTTAGGGAATAATGGCAAGGAAAAAACCTGTACATATTCAGTACAGATGGAACCATCACAGGTCTAACTACACAGCACACATCACCAACAACATAACATCCTTTTCCCAAAATTTTTCCATCCATGTTTGGTTGAATCCATACAAGTGCAACCCACAGGTACAAAGAGCTAACTGTAGTTCTTTGAAAGGTGAGCAAAACCCCTGGCTGGCATAGCTCAGTGGATTGAGCGCGGGCTGTGAACCAAAGTGCCACAGGTTTGATTCCCAGTCAGGGCACATGCCTGGGTTGCAGGCCATGACCCCCAGCAACCACACATTGATATCTCTCTCTCTCTCTCCCTCTCTCCCCCCCTTCCCTCTCTAAAAATAAATAAATAAAATCTTTTTAAAAATCAATAAACATATATTTAAAAAGAATAGACAATGTGAACAGATCTATAACTGAAGAAACTGAATTAGAAGTTTTTTAAAAACCAACCCACGAAGAAAAGCAAAAGTCCAGATGGCTTAACCACTGAATTATACCAAAATCACATAAAAAAGCAGAATTAATACCTATTCTTCATGAAATTCTTCCAATAAAAAAGGAGGGAACATTTCCCAACTCACTTTATGAGACCACTATCATACCAAAACCACAAAAAGAAACCTGTAGACCAACAACACTTATAAATTTGCAGACCAATGTCACTTATGAATATAGATGCAAAAGTCCAACAAAATAGTAGCAAACTTCAAGAGAATAAAAAACAAATCTTTCTCCCACAGATTGGGAGAAAATATTTGCAAAAGACGTTATCTAATAAAAGGCTATTACCTAAAATATACAAAGAACTCTTAATACTCAACAATAAAATAAACAACATGATTTAAAGTAGACAGAAGATCTGAAGACACCTTACCAAAGAAGATATACAAATGGTAAATAAGCATATGAAAAGATCCTCTACAGCATATGTCACTAGGGAATTGGAAATTAAAACAAGATACCACTACACACCTATTAGAATGTACAAAATCTGGAACAGTGACAACACCAAATGCTGGTGAGGGTGTGGGGCAACAGGAACTCCCATTCACTGCTGGTAGGAGTGCAAAGTGATTCTGCTACTTTGGAAGACAGTTTGGCAGTTTCTTACATTTTAACCATACTCTTACTATATGATCCAGCAATCACACTCCTTGATATTTACCCAATTAAGTTAAAAACTATGTCCACACAGACAACAATGTGATTAAAGCCAGGGGGCAGAACCTGGGTGCAAGGGGGTAAATGAGGGGAAAATAGGGAATATCTATAATAGCATCAACAATAAAAATTAACTATGTCAACTCCAAAACCTGCACACAAATACTTATAAACATTTTTATTTACATAAACATCTTTATAAGTAGCTTTATTCATAATTATCAAAATGTGGATGAAACCATGATATCCTTTACAAGGAAAATGGATAAACAAACTGTGGTATACACACAATAAAATATTATTTACAACAACAAATAAACAAGATATCAAGCCATGAAAAGGAGGAATTTTGAATTCACTGTTAGTAACTGAAAGAAACTAACTTTAAAAGGCTATATATACTGTATGATTCCAACTATATGACATTCTGGATAATGCAAAATTATGGAAACAATAAAAAGATCAACGTTTGCCAGAGGTTGGGGGAGAAGGAAGGATAGAGAGACAAGCAGAGGATTTTTAATGCAGTGAAACTAACCTGTATGATACTACAATGGTAGATACGTGTCATTATACATTTGTGAAAATCCCTAAAATAGACAACACCAAGAAGGAAATCTATTGCAAACAATGGGTTTTGGGTGATAATGACATGTCAATGTAGGTTCATCTATTGTAACAACTGTATGGCTGTGATGCAGAATGACTACAATTGGGGAGGCTGTGCACGTGTAGCAGGAATACCCAGGAATCTCTGCACTTTCCATTCAATTTTTCTGAGAAGCTAAAACTGTTCTGAAATATGAAATCTATTTTTAAAAACTCTAAACAAAAGGGAACTTCCTCAACTATTTACAAAATATCCACAGGTATCATACTTAATGGTGAAATACTGAATGTTTTCTTTTCCTCTCTAAGATCAAGAACAAGACAAAAAAATCTACTCTTGTAACTTCTATTCAACACTGTAATGGATATTCTAGCCAGAGCATGTGGGCAATAGAAAGAAATAAAAGGCCTCAAGATTGAAAGGGAGAAAGTAAACAATTGACCCTTGAACAGTAAGTATTTGAACTACACAGATCCACTTATACGTGGATTTTTTTTTCAATATACAATCAGTCCTCCATGTTCATGGGTTTCCACATCCATGGAATCAACCAACGCGAGAAGAAAGTATTTTTGATCCCAGATGTGGAGAGACTTGAACATATGCATATTTTAGTATCTATAAGGAGTCCTGTAACCAATCCCACTGTAAATACTGAGGGACAACTGTAGTTAAGTTTTTGGAGAGTCAAAAGTTATATGTGGATTTATTTACAATGGGGGGGGGGGGCGGGTTCAGAGCCCGTAACCCTGGTGTTGTTCAAGAGTCACCTACATCTTTTTGAAGATGACATTAACATGTATGTAGAAAATTCTAAGGAATCCACTAAAAAATATTATAACTAATCATCAAGTTCAATAATGTTGAAGGATATAACAATATACAAAAATCAATTGTATTTCTATACAGTTGCAAAGATGGTCTGAAAGTAAAATTAAGAAAACAATCTATCATAGCATCAAAAATAAAATATTTAGAGCCCTGGCTGGCGTAGCTCAGTGGATTGAGCACAGGCTGTGGACCAAAGTGTCGCAGGTTCGATTCCCAGCCAGGGCACATGCCTGGGTTGCAGGCCATGACCCCCAGCAACCGCACACTGATGTTTCTCTCTCTCTCTCTATTTCCCTTCCCTCTCTAAAAATAATTTTAAAAAATAAAATATTTAAAAACAAATTTAATAAAAGTATAAAATTTATTCTCTGAAAATTAGAAAACATCACTGAAAGAAAGTAAAGACCTGAATCAACGGTAAAACACCACTTTGTTCATGAATTGGAAGACTTAACGTTAAGATAGCAACACTCCCCAAACTGATCTACAGACACAATAACATCCCTGTCAGAATCTCAGCTTACTTCTTTGTAGAAACTGACAAACTCATTCTACATTCCACATAGAAGAGGGACCCAGAATAGCTGAAACAACCTCCAAAAAGAAAAAGAAAATAGGAAGACTCATAAATCCTGATTTCAAAATTTACTGTAAAACCACGCAGTGCTAGCAAAAGAATTATAGATCAATCAAAAGAACTGAGGTGTGTTCGCAGCCACTGCTGCTCTGTACTAGCAGCAGAGCCTCCAGCTCATGGAGCTCTAGCTGCAGCCCTGTTCCAGCCAAAGGAGAAGGCGAGCAAGTCAAGAGATCTCTACATCATGGCTCCTACAAAGCAGAATGCCCACAAACTGACCAGTGGTAAAGCACCCAGCAAGCAACTGGCTACCAAAGCTGCTTGCAAGAGTATGCCCTCTGTGGAGGGGTGAAGAAACCTCAATGGTACAGGCCTGATACTGTGACACTTCGTGAAATTAGACATTATCCGAAGTCCACTGACCTTCTGATTTGTCAACTTCCCTTCCAGTGTCTGGTGTGAGAAATTGCTCAGGACTTCAAAACACATCTGCACTTCCAGAGTGCAGGTATGGGTGCAGCAGGCAAGTAAAGTCTATCTGCTTGGCCTTTTTGAAGATACCAACCTGTGTGCTATCCATGCCAATGTGTAACAATTATGCCAAAAGACATCCAAGTAGCATACCACATATGTAGAGAACATGCTTATGAATCTATGATGGGACACATTTCATTCTTCTAAAAAATTCTCTTCTTGCCCTGGCTGGTGTTGCTCAGTGGATTGAGTGCTGGCCTGTGAACCAAACAGTCACCAGTTTGAATCCCAGTAAGGACACATGCCTGGGTTGTGGGCCAGGTCCCCAGAAGGGGGTGCACGAGAGGCAACTACACAATGATGTTTCTCTCCCACTTTCTCTCTCCCGTCCTCTCTCTAAAAAAATAAATAAGTAAAATTTTCTGAAAAATTCTATTCTTCCTATTATTGGTGAGTTCTTCACATTAGATGTATTTTTCCCATGGGGTCAAAAAGTACCTAAGTATATGATTGCAAGCGGAAAACAGGACAAAAATCAGGTATTGACAGTTTTTCCATTTTCATTTCTGTGTGAATTTTCTAAAATATAAATGTGGGGAAATAAAGCAATAATGTTAAGTCAAGGTATTTCAGTGAACAAATTTCAGCAGTTCAAGTTTATAACAACAATATAAATACACCTATTAAAATTTTCTGGACAATGCCAGCAGCTGGATTTCTAAAAAAAACAAGTAAATTTCTTATCGATGGCAACTACATGGTGCTTGTAGCATTTTTATCATACAGTAGATTCCATCCATTCCACTATACTTTTCTGAGTTGCCCTATATGCAAGTACATGACTGTAATGTAGTCTGCCTTCTGTGCTGTTCCTCTAAGTTTCCTGTTAAAATACATTAAACTATAAAAAAAAAAGAAGTCAAAGTCTAGAATTAAATCCATATATCTATGGTCAACTAATTTTCAACAAGGATGCCAAAACCAATGAATGTGGAAAGAATAGTCCTTTCAACAAATGGTGTGGACACAACTGTGAACCCACATGCAAAAAAATGAAGTTGAAGGCCTGTATCATGCCACATACAAAAATTAACTCCAAAAGCATCAAAGACCAAAGAGCTAAAACTACAAAACTCTTGAAAGAAAATATAGAGGTAAATCTTCACGACCATGGGTTTAGTAATGGATTCTTAGGTATGACACCAAAAAGCATGACCAACAAAAGAAAAATTAGATAAATTGTACTTCATCAAAATTAAAATATTTTGTGCTTCACAGGACACCATCAAGAAAAGACAACAAAAAATGGGGGAAAATATTCTCAAATCATGTATCTCACCAAAATGACTACTCACAGATAAATGACAAACTAAATATAGTGTACACATAACAAGGGAATCTTACTGAGCCTTAAACAGGAAGGAACTTTTAATAAGTGTAAGAATGATGAACCTTGAAGGCATTTACTAAGTGAACTAAACTAGAGACAAAAGGGCAAATGTTGTATAATCCTACTTTCTTGAGTTTCTTAAAGTAGTCAAATTCATAAAGATGATACAGAACAGTGGTTGCCAGAGGCTGGGGGGGCAGGGGATTGGGAAGTTAGTGTTTAATGGGAACAGAGTTTGAGCTGGAGATGAAAATTTTTTATAAATTTTAGAAATAGAGGACAAATTAGTGATTGCCAGGTATTAGGCAGAGTTAGACTCAGAGATAGGAAGATAAACATAGTTATAAAAGGACAAGATGAGTCATCTGCACGTTGACTGTGGTGATAGATACATGAATCAACCAAGTAATAAAATTATACAGAGCTTAATAAACACACACAAGTACAAGTAAAACTGAGGAAATCTGAATCAGATTGATAACTATCAATAAACTAGCTATAAGCCCTGGCTGGTGTGAGCTCAGTGGATTGAGTGCCAGCCTGCAAACCAAAGGGTCACTGGTTGATTCCCAGTCAGGGCACGTGCCTGGGTTGCAGGCCAGGTCCCCAGTGGGGGCCACATGAGAGGCAATCACACACTGATGTCCTTCTACCTCTCTTTCTCCTTCCCTCTCCCACTCTTTAAAAATAAATAAATAAAATCTTTAAAAAAATAAACTGGTTATGATAAAATGTTATCATTGTGGGAAACTGGGCAAAGTGTACAAGAGCTCTGTATTAGCTGTTACAACTGCATGCTAACTTACAAGTACCTCAATAAAAATGTCAATTTAAAAAACTCTTAAACTAGGAATAGAGAACGTCCTCAATTTGATGAAGAGGACTTACACAACACATATACAGAAACCATGGTACTTAATGGTGCAAGACTGAACGCATTCCCACTAAGACCAAAATCACCAAGAGGGTGTCTGTTATCACCATTCTTCTAGAACACAATAATGGAAAATTCAGAAAGTCCTGCCCGGCATAATGAGACAAAAAAAGAAATTAAATGGCACACAGATGGAGAGGATGAAATAAAACCGATCCTATTTACAGATGACAAAATTAAGTACAAAATCCAAATAAATCGGCAAAGTGAAATAAAAGCTTCCTAAGAGCAAGTTCACAGGATATGAGGTCATCTAAAAAAAAGAAAACTGAATTCCTATATACCTGCAATGAACAATTGGAATCTGAAAGAATTGTCTGCATTTTTAATTAAATTTTATTCAGGTGACATTGGTTAATTAGAGTATATAGGTTTCAAGTGTACATTTCTATGATATATCATTTGTGTGCCCACCACCCAAGTCAAATCATCTTCCATCACTATATATTTGGTCCCTTTACCCTTTATAGCTCCCTAAACCCCCTTTTCCTTCTGGTAACCACCATACTGTTCTCTGTATGTTGTCTGTTTCTATGAGGGTGTTTTTGTTTGTCTTGCTGCTTTGTTGCTTTCAGTTTATCCCACCTTTGAGTGAAATCATACAATTCTTGACTTTTTCCCTTTGGAATTTTTTAAACAAGACAATTTAAAATAGTACCCAAAAACTGAAGCTCTTAGGTAAATATCTAACAAAATATGCTGAAGATCAATATGTGAATAACTACAAAACACTGGGCACACTCAGGAGTTTCTATTCTGTTGACTTCTTTTTTCCTGAATATGGGTTAAATATTATATTTCAATTACAGTTTACATAATCAAGTAACCTATGTTAACATCAGCAATGAGGAGAAAAATTACATCATGTGTCTTGTGAAATGATGTACTGACAATAACGTAACACCACTTATGTAGTAATCCTGCCAAAAATAAATAACCCTAATCTACTGTAATTACAACTAGTCAGAAAAATTCACACTGAGGAGACAATCACCAGATGTCATGGTTCTGACAGAGAAATTGTTTCGGATTTTTTTCAAGTAGTTTCTCCATCTGAACTTTTTTTTAAAGGTTTTACGTATTTACTTTTACAACCCTTCCCAAGGGTGGTCCGGGAACATGTATAAAGACACAAGGACGAAGCCAAAGGGGGGTAGGATTGAGGGAGGGAGGAGGGATGGCTGGGGTGGGAGGAGCGGTAGGGGGGAAATGGAGGCAACTGTACTTGAATAACAATATAAACAAAAAATATATATTTACTCTTAGAGAGAGGAGAAAGGGGGACAGAAATATCAATGTGCGAGGAATACATCGATTGGTTGCCTCTTGCATGCCCCCAACTGGGCACGTGGCCCGCAATCCAGCCATGTGCCCTGAATGGGAATCGAACCAGCGACCTTTGGGTTCGCAGGCCAGTGCTCAATCCACTGAGACACACCAGTCAGGGCTCTTTCCGATTTTTAAAGACTAATAAGGCAAGACAACTATATGCAATGCGTAAACCTCAACTGGATACTGGACTTGGGACGAGTGGGCTTACCTATAAAACACTGTAGGGACAATTTGTGAATTAAAAATAAAAATAAGGGCTAGATAACAGTACACACTTAGTTTTACACCTATTTACCCTTACCACTGTTACTCATTACTTCCTGTATTGTGACACTGACATTTCAAAAGTTTCCTTCTGATTTGAGAAAAACCTTTTAGTCATTCCTCTTGATATTCTGCTAACATCTAGTTCTTGCTTTTTGTGTTTATTCCACCTCCATTTTTGAAAGACATTTTCACTGAACAGAGAGTTCTGTGTTGGCAATTAATTTATATTTTTTATTCATTAATTTTACAAAAGGGGGCAGAGTGGAGAGAAACATCAATTTTTTGTACGACTTATGCATTCATTGGTTGATCCCTGCACATGCCCTGACCAGGGATCAAACCCACAACCTTAGCCCATTGGGACAACGCTCTAACCAACTGAGCTACTCAGCCAGGGCTTGGCAGTTATTTTCATTTGGCACATTAAAGAAATTATTTCCTTGTCATTTAGCTTTCTATTGTTCCTGTTGTCAAATGAGCTATCAGTGTTACTGTTGTTCCTTTGAAAGCAATCGCTTTTTCCCCTCTTGTTGCTTGTAAGATGTTTTTGTTGGTTTTGTTCTTTAGGAGTTTGATTATGATATGCCTAGTTGTAGCTTTCTTTATATTGATCCTGCTTGATATTCACAGACTTTCACAAATCTATGGCTTGATGTTTTTCATCATTTTTAGAAATTGCTCAGCCAATACCCCTTCACATTCAGCTTATAACCCATTCTGTCACCTCTCTTTCTGGAACTCTAATTACACATATGGCTATACTTTCCACTGTGATCTACCCATATTTTGCTTCTTACACTGTGTTTGTAAATGTACACATGTGTGTGCATATGTCTCCATTCAACTCTCACATATGTAGCTCCCCTTGAAATCCTCAGAACAAATGATGGTAATTACACAAGATACAGGATACTTTTCAAAAACAGCAAGGAAGTTCAGCATCTTTTCACATATC